CAAAGACAAGGCAGAGAGTGCTCAGGAAGAGTGAGACAGACAGGCAGAAACAACAGAGGGAAAGTACACAAGTGTAACCCACCAAAGTGCGTGTATGTGGGGGTGGGGGCGAATTTGGGCACATGGGGAAAGAGAAATAGGCATGGTTAAGTACAAGGGCAGAGGAAGGAAGAAAGGCAAACCAAAACAGGCACAGGAACCAAAAAGAATTCAAATCGGTCAACAACCCAATAATAATAAGCTCGCTCGACAGAGTGACCACTTGCCAGTCTGCTATATAACCTCTTTTTCAAGCTGATTGTTGGCCAAATATTTCACAAGGGAAGAGTCATTAAGGACACCAGCTGACAGAAACAATCTAGAAAGAATATATGGGAAACTTCAATGCACAAAGTCCAAGAATCTTGAAAGAATAATCTTCACCAGGAAACGGGAATTGAACTCGCGCTTTTGGTGTTCCAGGCAAATAGTCTTACTGTTACACTACAGATAGAGAAATGGCCAAAGTATCGGAAGTAACATGGACTTTAAATTCCAGAAACACATGATTATGCAACCATACATGCTGGTCAATGAAACATGACATCATACCAAAGTACAGTACATTAAAAAACATTATTAGACATTTAGAGCGCAGTTAACATTCCTTATTTAAAAAAAAAAAAAAATTACAGCCATGCCGTGCCAGTATATTATATTCACGAATTCTGACATGTGTGGAAAATTATTTGAATGACTTCTTAAGCCATCATAAGGTGCTCAATGGTCATGAGAATTTAGTAGGTAGGTTGACATGTTCTTACAATTAATTTAATTCAACCACATGTTGTAGAGTGTGCGATATAAAGCAATGTGCATTCGAATTATTCTAATCTCCAGGACGCAAAATCGAATGTTGCATATAATGTTTACCCGACGGTCTTAAAAGACAGAGTATCCAGTTTCCTAAAATGTTCAGAAGAGCAAAAAAAGAAGGGGAAAAAAAGCAACAAACAAACATCTTTGTCTCTCACCACCCACTTGCTTTTAACACCTTCAAAACGCTTTCCCAACTTATTTAGTAAGATATATACTAGACAAAGACTAAGACAGAAATTGTGTATTTAGTTTTTTTTCCCCCTCTTAACTATAAAGTGGAATGGATAACTCAATTTCATTCAAAACTGGATAGGTCTTTTAAAATAAAACTCCAGGGGTGACAGAGTCGAAAACGGTACACCGTAGAGATAGCATCACTCGCGTTCTTGTAACACACAATGAGAAGACGCGACTCACTTTCTTTTTTTGGTTTTTTTTTGTTTGTTTTTTGTAGTAAGTGTATTACGGCACTTGCAACACAATACGGTCATATAAGTGCCGAAGATTAGAGGTGTTACAAGAGAGCAACAATCACAAAAAAAGAAGTAGGGGAGATAAGGAAGATAGATGTTTGACAGGAAAGAAGGAGCAAACCCCACCAGAGTAGAGCATCCACCAACCACTCACGCCTCTTCTTTCTGTTGACAGCAGTGACAGCACCGGGCCGTCATATCGCAATGCTTTGTGAGTGACTTGAAAC